AAAGAGGAATGACAAAGGGCTGCCTGTGTATATTATATATTTATACATGTATATTTGATGTGCTACTTTGCATTCTTGTCCTTCATTCTGTTCCTTCTGTTTTATTCCTTCCTTAAAGTCGTGTGATTCTGGGTTTAACAAACAGAGACAGGTACAGAAACTCTCAGTGAAATCTTATTCACTTTTGTTATTAGACTTCTATAAGCAATCGTTGGCAACTTCATGCTGGACTGTATATAAATCTGCTCATTTCGATACCTTTGGTTTATTTTATTAGTTGCTTCTGGCCATTGCATGGCATTATTTCTGGCTAATCAGTTCTAAGCTTATTTAATAAATTTGCCAAAGATGATAATGTTTCAGAGTGTAGTTTTAATCTACTTATAATATAAAAATGATAGTTATCTCAAGTTGATTTCAATATTTTGATAGCTTTACTTTTACCTGGAGAAATTCTAATTTGCATGCATTTTGAAGTTTATATTTAACAGTTTAAACAAACTAACATTTTCTACATTCAGTTTTCCAAATTAGAATTTTTTTTAATAAATTCTGATTTATAAAATCAGTAAGCCAAAATGATCTGTTCTTGACTTACATGTAAATTTCAAGTAAGAATGCATGGTAAATGTTAAAGTATTATTTGAACTATTTCATGTGTTTTCAAAGTAGTATCTTAGTTTCTATTAAGAATTTACCTACTGAATTATTGAATATGCTTTTTACTGTTTCCTTATCACTTTTGTACTCTTTCTTCTTCCTTTTATGAGATTTCTATCCAAAATCATTATTTTGGTTATAGGATTTATTTAGTTTCAAAATAATTTTATTATATATGATTATTTTAGAAAAGACCTGGCAGGTATTTATCATTTCTCCTTTATTCAAAGAAGCATATTTTAACACATTTTCATTAATTGATAATATATCCCTTAGATAAAGCCCAACTTACAAATAATCGAGAGTCAGACTGTAGTTTTGATGCAGTCAGAATGATCTTATGCCCGTGTGTGTGTGTGTGTGTGTGTGTGTGTGTGTGTGTGTGTGTGTGTCTATCTTTTCTTATACAGCTTTTAAAAGTCATTCAGATGTGGCCGGGCGCGGTGGCTCACGCCTGTAATCCTAGCACTCTGGGAGGCCGAGGCAGGAGGATTGTTTGAGCTCAGGAGTTCGAGACCAGCCTGAGCAAGAGCGAGACCCCGTCTCTGCCAAAAATAGAAAGAAATTAAGTGGACAGCTAAAAATATATAGAAAAAAAATTAGCCGGGCATGGTGACGCATGCCTGTAGTCTCAGCTACTTGGGAGGCTGAGGCAGTAGGATTGCTTGAGCCCAGGAGTCTGAGGTTGCTGTGAGCTAGGCTGGTGCCATGGCACTCACTCTAGCCCGGGCAACAAAGTGAGACTCTGTCTCAAAAAAAAAAAAAAAAAAAAGTCATTCAGATGTAATATATATATTCTACATAATCCCCAGTGAAGGTTAAAATATACTTTAAAGTAACTAATAAAAGTTTTAAAGGATTATGGTAGTAACATTATGTGGAATTTTTTGCTTTAAAGGAAAAGTGTAGTATCTTTATTACCATGTCTCTGTTGCTGAATTCTTAGATTCTCCATGGAAATAAAATACTCTTTAATATTTTACATTTGGCTCCTAAGCTGACAGAGTTAATCTGGTTCATATCTATTATACTTGTCCTTTTTAGCACAATCAAAAATCGTCTTGGGGGGATTTTTTAATCAACTTTTTCCTTTAAAATAATTTTACACCTAAAGAAAAGGTGCAAAAAATATGAAATTCCCTTAATGTAAACATCTTTTATAACCAGAAATTAAAATTACCAAAAACAGAATTATCAAAGGCAGAAATTAAAATTGGTATACTACTGTTAACTACAGACTTTATTTGAATTTCACCAGCTTTTCCACTAATGCCATTTTTCTGGTCCAGGGTCCAATTCATTTGCATTTTGTTGTTATTTCTCCTTAGTCTCCTCTAATCTGTGACAGTTCCTTAGTCTTTCCTAATTAACACTTTTGAAGAAGCCTGGTCCGTTATTTTTTAACATGTCCCTCAACTTGGCTTTGTCCGATGTTTCCTCATGACTGGAAGGAGGTTGTGCGTCGCGAGAAAACCGCGGGAATGAAGCCGTGTCATTCTCAGTGCGTCATAGCGGAGGGTTTGTGATGTCTCCAAGTCTTCCCGCTGGGAACGCTAACCTCCATCACTTGGTTAAGGTGGCATCTGCCAGGTTTCAACACTGTAAGGTGTTATTTTTTCTTTTGTAACTAATAAATCTCTTGGGGGAGATACTTTGAAACTGCAGATATCTTGTCTTGTTTCTACTTACACTCTCTAGCTCATTAATTTTAGCATCCATCAGTGGATCATGTGTACAATCACTGTTATTATGTTTGCCTAATGATTATTTTCTATTTCCCTCTTCTACATATTTTAATTGGAATACTGTAAGGAAAAGCTGTCTCTTCTTCCTAATTCATTTATTTATTCAATTATTTAGTTTTATCAGTATGGACTCATGGATATTTTATCTCTGAGGTATAATCCTCTATGATCATTATTTATTTTGTTGATCAAACCATTCTTTTGTGATTTTTGAACCAAAAAAATGTAAACAAGTGTAAATGCTTCCAGAGCAAGGAGACAGATTGAGAAATAAAAGCATTTGAAAGACAGAATTAAAGATATTTTAAAAGATAAGTATTATTCAGCAGTAACAAGAAATGAAGTACTGACATATGTTATAATGTGGGTGAACCTTGAAAACATCATACTAAGTGAAAGAAGTCAGGTACAAAAGGTTACATATTGTACGATTCCATTTATACGACATGGCTAGAGACAGAAGGTAGATTAGTGGTTGCCAGGAGATAGGGGTGGGTGTTGAGGGGACGGGGATTGACTGCTAATGGGTACAGGGGTTTCTGTTTGGGGTGATGATTTCACAAGTATATAAATATACTAAAAATCACTCTATTGTACACTTTAAATGGGAGAATTGTATGGCATGTGAATTATATCTCAAAGCTATTTTAAAAGAAAAGATAAAATAATTATAGTTATTAAAAATTCATAGCATTTTCCTAGTAGATAGTGGATAATTAATACTTCGAATATTGGTTCTACTTGACCAGGCAGAAAATAGAACTATATGGAGAGATAAGAAAACTAAATTATGGAAAGACTAATGTTTTGCTCTTAGTATTTTTGGAGCAGTTGAACCCTGGACCATTAATATGGCATATTTAAAATTTATATTTAATTAAAAAGAAACTATAAATAAATGTGTTTGTACTATATTCCAGGTCATTAATTTCCAAACTTTTATGGATAAGACTCCCTAATTCTCTTTTTCTACTCAGCTGCTACTCCAGCTATCTGTTCAATATGGTATCATTCCCTAGCTATATTTACATTTATTTGTAATACAGATACATGATGTATATATATGTATATATTTGTCAGTTAGTAATAAGCATATTACATTATGCTTTCATATTACAAAGGGTGTTTAACAGAAGGCATTTTTGGCTGTACTGTAGCCTACTTTTGCCCTCATAGGCATAAAAGGCCGTAGAAAATATAAATTCACATACCCTGAGGATATGATAAATTTTACTTTCTGTTTGAAGATTAGATGGAATGGTAAACAGGACAGATTGTTTGGCACATTATCTTTGTCCTTTATATTAGTTTCCTCTGTATTTGTCTTCTCTTTAATTGTGATTATAATTTATATAACCTCATCAAAAATAGACAGTTGGAGCAACAAAAATAGGAAGTTAAAAGACTTGATAAGTTAGTGTTCTGGTCCAAATCGACCACTAACTAGCTATTTATTCTGTGACTTTGAAGTCCTGAATTAGCCCTCCAGATCTCAGCGTGCGCATCTGTAGTTGAGGAGATGCGGGTGTCATTGACCACGGGCAGATCCTTCTTTGATATGTCACCACATTCAGAAAATGTTTTGCTCCAGCTGGGCGCGGTGGCTCACGCCTGTAATCCTAGCACTCTGAGAGGCCGAGGCAGGAGGATTGTTTGAGCTCAGGAGTTCGAGACCAGCCTGAGCAAGAGCGAGACCCCGTCTCTACCAAAAATAGAAAGAAATTAAGTGGACAGCTAAAAATATATAGAAAAAATTAGCCGGGCATGGTGGCGCATGCCTGTAGTCCCAGCTACTTGGGAGGCTGAGGCAGTAGGATCACTTGAGCCCAGGAGTTTGAGGTTGCTGTGAGCTAGGATGACGCCACGGCACTCACTGTAGCCAGGGCAACAGAGTGAAACTCTGTCTCAAAAAAAAAAATAATAAAAAAATAAATAAAAATAAAAAAAAAATAAAAAATAAAAAATAAAAATGAAAAATAAAAAAATAGAGTAAATTATTATAAACTGTATTTACTTTCACATGTTAAGAAATAATACTGTTTTATATTTACAAGATTATTATATATAGATTCTAAAGGAAGTTTTAGATCCCTTGGATGTAAAATATGATCAAGATCTGAAAATTTCAGCTGTTTAGTCTGTAGAAATATTTAAAGCTGCTTAAGTGTTTATCATAGGCACTTTAAAAATGATTTCCTAGGTTTATCTTTTGTGTTCCTATAATGCAGACATCAGTAGTTTTCCCCTTTGTTGCTTTTTTTTTTTAACCTCTGTCCTTCCTGTTATTAAGGACAGCGCTCTTCTCTCTTGTGGTTAGGCTATAAGCATTCGAGCATTTGGCCTAAGCTTGGTTCATGGAATGTTTTATCTTCTTAGAAAAGTAGTTTTGATAAGGCTGTATCAGCTATAATAACAACTACTCATTCGGGTGTAACAGTAGCTCAATCTGTCCCCTAATAGCGTTTCCTCATGTTACACACATTTGTTGTTTTTACTTTACTTCATAGTACAACTTAATGAGCTTGTCTGTCACGTGACCTCATGTATTTAGCATTAAATGCTACTCACACCTGTGTGTTTCCTTGACTTACCTAGGGATCAGGCCCGGCCCCAGGACCAGTGATACTGCTGAATTCACTCACTGTGGACGCAGTATGTGAGAAACTGAAACAGATAGAAGGGCTGGACCAGAGCATGCTGCCGCAGTATTGTGCAACAATCAAAAAGGTGATGTCCCCATTTACATGCTGGGTAGGGACGGCCCTGAGGGTGTGGAAGACAGAACTGGGTGGACAGTGCACCCTTCCAAATAGCGTCTCAAAGACAAGTTCCCTGTTGAATTGGGAAAGCGTAAATGGAAAACAAAACTCTTACTGTGTTGTTTCCTAGAACTGCCCTATTATCTCTTTATAAATGGATAAAAGAGAATAAAGTAGCTGTATTACAGTGTTATTTTCGCAATAACCTAATATAAGTAAAAGAAAGCCTTGGCAAGAAATGTAAGGCTCTAAAGGGTTTTACGTTGAGAAAAACAATAACTCATCTTTGCAGTGTGGAACAGGGGACCTTTTATGTTACATTTGCTTTAATTCTAACATTTGTATGTATGACTCCATTAAAATAAGCCACACTTGCTTCATTTTCCCCGGATTCTCATTTTGATGTCATATAGGACTTAGGATCGTGTCACATTTGATAAACCACATAGGTTTGGGTTTGCCAGGCCAATGTGTTTGCAGAAATTTATTTCTTCCAAGATCCTATTCTTGCAATTCTAACAGCTACCAGGAAGTTGGGCGGTGAGGCAGAGATTTTGGAGGAGGCTTCCCTATACGAGGTTAACCAAGTCCAGTTGTAGTAGGTATTTCCACTAAGTTATACTTTAAATATCCGAGTACTATAGTAGAGGAGAACATCAATAACAAGCCTCTGATTGCGCAATCCCAGGAGTTTGAGGCTGCAGCGAGCTATGATCACACCATTGTACTCTAGCCCAGGTGGCAGAGCGGGACCCTGTCTCAAAGAAACAAAAACAAAAAGCAAGCCTCTGATATTCACGTACTTTAAAGAGTGGCATCTGGAAGAAGTTTTTAAAAGAATTATGAGCATATATAGATACCATTTTACTAATCTCAGCCACCGTTTAGTCAGAAAGGTTTCAGAGAATGTCAGTTTTCTTACAGAGCTCGTTCGTGCTGATCCAGTTGCATGAGTCAAGCACTGCCTTTCTCACGTACAGACCTGACTCCTCCAGGCGGTCGACTCGCGTCAGGAAAGAGCGAGGTCTCCCACTTGAGTCCTCTGTGGCAGTCTTGTTTCCATCAGGATGGTGGTTTCCTTCCCACTCGGCCCGCACTCCCAGGCCCTGGCTTTTCCAAGTCCCTCATAGCAACGGTTACGGTTTCTTACATCTGCAAACCCTCGCGTTGTTGCAGTGGCACCTCTGCCACAGACTCACTCTGTTTTTGTTCAGAATTAACTTGGAAACTGAACATTCTATCGATCTGAAGCGTAGGCAGTCCATAATTTTGCCACAGTTAATAGAGGCAGGTTGTATATTTCATAAAATTGGTAAGCTACCTATTATTAATAAAGAAAATGCTGTGTTCCTTATTTGGGGAAAACTAAAATTACTGAGAACCAAAAGTGATGAAATCATTTTTTGTGAATTTAATAGACTAGGAAGTTGGTGGGCAGATGTTCTTTATAGCTGAAAGTGTCCACTCTAACTGATAAACAAGTTTGCTAGGCACACTTCACGTAGGATCTGCTCAGTGACCAGACACACCTATGAGGACAGATGTGTTTGCTGCTTCCCTGCAGCTTGTGTTCACATTCATAGTTTCTAAGGCCAGAAAAGAAAAACTAGCAGTTTCGTTGTTGCTCATGACAGGGTAGATGTTTTGGAAATAGTTGGGAGGGTGGGTTCTTGGGCTGGTCCCTGAAGAGCAATTTGCTTTACTTGTGCTTAAGGCACTTGGGAAAGTATAGAGTGGCTTATGTTGTTCAAGTTCAGCTTTTTACTATATTATTAATGAGGTGACAGCCTTTTGTAGGGTCAGCCTTTCTAGTCTCTAATGACTTTCATAAAACTAAATGTAAGCATACTTCTTAATCCCTGGTAATTCAGAATATTTCACATTTTGTTTGTCCTTGTCCTTGTACTTGTTTTTGCTCAGGCGAACATAAATGGCCGTGTGTTAGCTCAGTGTAACATTGATGAACTGAAGAAAGAGATGAATATGAATTTTGGAGACTGGCACCTTTTCAGAAGCACAGTAAGATATTTATAACATTATTTTAACATCTAAGATTATTTATAACATTGTATAAAACTAGTACTAATAAGTACTGGTCTAAACTGGTATTTCTCCATTTTTAAAAAAAAATGTTAAAACTACATTTTAAACTTGTGTACACCCTGGGTTAGGGAGAATATACAGAGCAGCACTTGGCAACCTTTGCCTTTTTGACATTCCACTCAGAAATTTGGGGAAGAGGCCACTGCCAGTTCTTCCTGCTTTCACTTGACACAGACTCTCCTTGACCTAACTGTGGTCAGGCTCTTCCAGGCCGCAGCCTTCAGTGTCTGTCCGTCTGGCTTGCGTGGCCCAGTTTTAGCAAGAATCCTGTTAGGTCAGTTTAGAAGGAGGCGCCCCACCACAACCATACGTGATCACCCTCAGCAGTTGATCAGATTCCTCACCCCAGGTGATGTGTGGTCATCCTGGCCTTGGGTTAGCCAGATCCGCCCACCCAGTGCTTCCCTTTAGTCACTTTCCAGCCACGGGCCCCACCTGCTCCTTGGCTATAAATCCCCACTTGTCCATGCTGTATTCAAAGTTGAGCCTACCGTTACCCTGAGATCTCTTTTCCCCTATTGCAATAGTCCTGAATAAAATCTGTTTTTGCTGCTCTAACTACTGTCCAGTTCTGATTTTCTTTGACACGCTCCAGTTGCATTTTGCTTTGTTCTCAAGTTAAGTTTTAAACTAGAGTAATAATATAATGGGCAAACCAAAGGGTTGTATATATGGTGATTTCTACCGTTACTTCTTTTAGTATTAATTGTAAGCAGATATAGTTCAAATTCACTAGAAATTCTCTCACCAGAAGCATGCTTACTCATTTCCCTTATAATAATTTTATAATATTTTAAAAAACTATTTCTAAAGCTTCTAAAATATAATTTGTTGGCTGGGCACAATGGCTAATGCCTGTAATCCCAATACTTTGGGGGGCAGAAGCGGGAGGATTGCTTCTGGCCAGCAGTTCAAAACCAGCCTGAACATCATAGCAAGACCCCATTTCTATAAAAAAAAAAATTAGCCAGGCATGGTGTGGTGTGTGCCTGCTGTCCCAGTTACTCAGGAGGCTCAGGCAGTAGGATTGCTTGAACCCAGGAGTTCAAGGCTACAGTGAGCTGTGATTATGCTACTGCACTCCAGCCTGGGTGACAGAGCAAGACCCTTCCTTCCTTCCTTCTTTCCTTCCTTCCTCCCTCCCTCCCTCCCGGAACCACTTCAGGAAGGAGGGGAGGAGGGAGGGAGGGAGATATTTATGATATGCTTTCTTCTTTTAAGATACTAGAAATGAGAAACGCAGAAAACCAGGTGGTTCCTGAAGACCCGCGTTTCCTCAATGAGAACAGCAGCGGCCCCGCTCCTCACGGGGAACCCGCTCGCCGCTCTGCACACAACGAGTTGCCTCACACTGAGCTCTCCAGCCAAACACCCTACACACTGAACTTCAGCTTTGAAGAGTTGAATACACTTGGCCTAGATGAAGGTGCCCCACGTCACAGTAACCTAAGTTGGCAGGTATTTATTAAATGTCATTTTTCATATTATTGAAGAATAAGGACACTATTCAATTCACTGAAAATATATCGGGCATTTATACAGCCATTCAGAAAATGCTTACTGTATACTTTAGTGGGCAAGGTGGAGGGCGCCTTGTCCTCAGGGAGCTGCTTTCATCTGGAGAGGGACAGTCAGTGAAATGAAGGGGAAAAATGAGATCATTTAGAAATTGGTAAGACCCGCGGAAACAGTCAGGGTGAGGGCCTGGAGAGTAAACAGAAACGGGGCTGCCTCAGTGCGGGTGGTCAGCAGATGCAGCCTTTCTCTGGCGAGTGTCCGATTAAATTCATTAATCATTGGCTAAAATACGTCTTTATTGGAACACTTGCCACGTGTTTCCCTTTGAGCACCATCACTCGGCTTTCCAGTGCACATGCATGCTTTTTATGGGTGTTTGTTTTCTTCTTCTTACCTGGTGTTGGGTGTAGGTGAGTTCCTCCTTTGGTTGTCCTTAGGAGAGCGAGGCCAGGTGAGGAGCAGGAACAGAACAAAGCGAGAGACTCGGGAGGAAGAGGAGGAGGAGAGGGGATTGAGAAGGAGAATACACCAGGAGAAATCAGAGCAGGGTACAGAAAACAAGCAAGGGCGGAAAATAAAAGTAGCTACGAAGAAGCACCACACTAACAGGGTCAGTATTCAGGAAAAGCAAGTACTGGGTAGGTCTACCGTGGTTAACAGTGCTTCGTTTGATAGTAAAAATACTTTTTTGTTATTATTCTCTTTTTCTCCATACTATCTACCTATATTTCTAGAAGTTGGGAAACCATTGACTGTTACGGTATTACTCTTTTATTAAGATAAAAATTACTTATTTCACAATAAATGAAGTCCACACTTGATCCTTTTGTCTCTCTGTGTCAACGGCAGTAGCTCTTTGCTTTTCCCTAGGGTTCCTTCTGAAATTTCTTAAGAAATCCTCAGTTTTAGCTTCACTATGCTTGGTATTTCCCACCAGGACCTGGAAATTCAGAGCTCTCCCATTAATGCAGCAGTTCTCAAACTTTTCTTTAATTGCGGGCTTTTACACTCTTACACTGTTAAAAACTATATTTTCCAAAACAAAAAATTTAATGAGAATGGTGTTGTCTTGCAAATCTCTTGAATGCCTGGCTTCACAGAAGACCCCTAGGTTCCCAACCTGCTTCCACAGGCGAATCTCTTGTGACATCACACGTCACGTGGCCTCTGGAAACTCCACTGGACGCTCTCGTGAGAACGAGGGTGGAAAAGGCAGATAACATCCTCGTATTCATATAAGAACAATTTTGACCTTGTGGGTTCCCTGGAAAGGGGTGCACATGCTACACTGAAGAACAGCCGCCCTAACGGGTGGAGAATGGCGCTGTCCTCGCAGTCTGAATGTGATCACTGGGGCCTTCTTAGGGACGTGGGACATCTTCCTCTGGAAGGAAGACTCTGCTTTGCTTCTACTTTGTTTTGACCTTTGCTCTCATCCCTTCTTAAAATCTCTTGATTCTTTTTCTTCTGTTTCCCTTTTCCAAATCTGTGCTTTTTACTCCTTGTTTATTAGTTTTTCTGGGGTCTAAAGCAATTCTAGTCCTAAAACTTCATATTGGAAATCAAATTTTAATATGTTATTTCTGTGTTTACTAGGGCCCAACTATTGGTCTCATGGCTTTTTGTATTTTATCAATGGAGGTGACTTTACCTTAAATAAAAGTTAAAAGTTATAAAAACAAGTGCTTTGGCTGTGTGTGGCAGTGTGCTCCTGTAGTCCTAGCTGCTAGGGAAGCTGAGATGGGAGGGTCGCTTGAGCCCAGGAGTTCGAATCCAGCCTGGGCAACACAGCAAGACCCTGTCCCTTAAAAAAAAAATTTAATTTAATTTAAAAAATCACAAAACAAAAACAAATGCTAAGATTATTTGTTAATACTATGTTTAATTATACTTTTAAATATTAACAATAAACTGATTTTATTAAAATTTTTATAAAGCTTTCTAATAACAGTAGAATTATTTATAAGGTCACAGCTTTTGTTAAACTGTCATATAAAATTCTTTTAAAAGAACTCGGTATTTTGATGACTTTTAAAATTGTTAGTGTACCTATATCTTTTCTAAACTGATGTTTATTATGCTTTTTGTTTTGCTTATTTGAATTTTTAAATTATTTTTTTTTCTGTCTTCACAGTCACAAACTCGCAGAACCCCAAGTCTTTCGAGTCTCAATTCCCAGGATTCCAGTATTGAAATTTCAAAGCTTACTGATAAGGTGCAGGCCGAGTATAGAGACGCCTATAGAGAATACATTGCTCAGATGTCCCAGTTAGAAGGGGGAACAGGGTCTGCAACAATTAGTGGCAGATCTTCTCCACACAGCACATACTGTATGGGTCAGAGTTCATCGGGGGGCTCTATTCATTCTAATCTAGAGCAAGAGAAAGGGAAGGAGAGTGAGCCCAAACAAGATGATGGCAGGAAGTCCTTTTTAATGAAGAGGGGAGATGTTATAGATTATTCATCCTCGGGGGTGTCCACTAATGATGCCTCACCCTTGGATCCTATCACTGAAGAGGATGAAAGATCTGATCAGTCAGGCAGTAAGCTTCTCCCAGGCAAGAAGTCCTCCGAAAGGTCAAGTCTCTTCCAGACGGATTTGAAGCTTAAGGGAGGTGGGCTGCGCTATCAGAAACTGCCAAGTGACGAAGACGAATCCGGTACGGAAGAGTCAGATAACACGCCACTGCTCAAGGATGATAAAGACAAAAAAGCCGAAGGGAAAGTCGAGAGAGCGTCAAAGTCTCCGGAACACAGTGCCGAGCCAATTAGAACCTTCATTAAAGCAAAAGAGTATTTATCGGATGCCCTGCTGGACAAAAAGGATTCCTCAGATTCAGGGGTGAGATCCAACGAAAGTTCTCCCAATCACTCTCTTCACAATGAAGCGGCGGATGAGTCCCAGCTGGAAAAGGCCAATCTCATAGAGCTGGAAGACGACAGCCACAGTGGCAAGCGCGGAATCCCACATAGCCTGAGTGGCCTGCAGGATCCGATCATAGCTCGGATGTCCATCTGTTCAGAGGACAAGAAAAGCCCCTCCGAATGCAGCTTGATAGCCAGCAGCCCCGAAGAAAGCTGGCCTGCGTGCCACAAAGCCTACAACCTGAACCGCACACCCAGCACTGTGACTCTGAACAACAACAGTGCCCCAGCTAACAGAGCCAATCAGAATTCCGATGACATGGAGGGAACCAGGGAGACTTCTCAAGTCATTCTGAGGCCCAGTTCCAGTCCCAACCCAACTGCTGTTCAGAATGAAAATCTAAAAAGCATGACACACAAGCGAAGCCAGCGTCCGAGTTACACGAGGCTCTCCAAAGATTCTTCCGAGCTCCATGCAGTAGCCCCTTCTGAGAGCACAGGCTTTGGAGAAGAAAGAGAAAGCATTCTTTAAGAGAAACACACAAAGGCAGAGTAGTATTACCATACCCTATGACAAAGTTGTCCCGAATTTAGAATCCATCTGTGCACATCACCTGTGTACATTTCATTTACAGATAATTAACGGATGGGAAGTCCCTTGGTCAGTGACACATACACTGTGCAACAGAGGAAGCATAAGAAATGATGGTACACCGGTCATCCTCTAGTCTTTGCAATTAGAAGCTTAAAAACTCACTAATATTATTATACTTTTCATTGGCACATAACCCCGTAAAACTTTTTGAGACAAGGCAGGTGTGAGCTGAGTGTAAAGATAGGTCAGAAACATTCTGTTAAATTTAGAGGGCTTAATTTGGCAAAGAAAATAAAAATATAGGGACTCCTTTTGTAGAATATTCAGTCATCAAATATTTGAGGGATGATCTGGTATTAGATGAAGCAGAAACAAATTTTGCTCTTAGGGGTTTAATCTAGATAAGATTTTATAGGTTACAGTAGGTGGGGGCAGGGGCCAACAACCTCCTTATTACCTGGATACTCTACTCCTCAAATACCAGACCTGGCTTCCAGCACCATCCATCTGTGCCCAAGAAACCACCCTGGTGTGTTCTGCAACTCTTTTAAATCATGCGTCCAACTTTTTCTTAGTGAGCTTAGCAATGAGAGGGGGGGAAAAAAAACGAATTTTCTTTTTGGAAAATCAGGGAGACATTGGTAATAATAGGCACTAATAAATATTTATGGAATGAGTGAATGAGGAAATAATTACATCAAAAAGGTCGGTGACAACTGACAGATGACAAGGAAATGTTTAATTAGGTAAAACTAAATCATCGCTTTCCATTATTAGGGCAGAGTTTGTCTACTTCATCTGTTCCGAAATCAGCATATTAATTCTAGAGGAGAAGCATAAGAAAGGGAAAACATTTTTTAAAAAAGTTTAAAAACATGTAACAAAGCAGGGGTTAAAAAAAAAAGATAAAACTGATGTAACTATAAAACTATACTTTCCATTAATTGTTAGCAGAGTTGAGAGAATGATCATGTTTACGTATTATGTGGACTAGAAATGTACCGTGTCATCATGTACTGAAATTTCTTTTGTCATTTTAGCGTAGCTTGTTCATGTAGAATTAATTGTGGCAGCATATCCCAAGTCACAGATAGGGTCAGAGACGGTGAGGTCACGGATGTGCGATTGTCTAGATTCAGTGTTACAATGTTTGCAATGTTTATCACTTAATGGATTTTTATTAATGTGCTGATTAAATTATTTACTTAACCAGTCATTGTGCTAAATAGTTGCTCTTTTGTGTTTCATTGCCTTGATGTTTGAGTGTAATCTAGCATTTTAATGAAGTGTTTATTCTGCATGATCTTCAACAAATGTTTTAAGCAATTAAAAAAAGGCAGGATGTTATTTATATATTGAAGTCCTAACATTTTAATATTTATAGTGTTTATTAGTTTGCAATATTGTATAATTAGTAATTATTTCAGAGGCAATATTTTGTTTCTTTTCAGGTGAGTAGTTGCAGCTTAATATCATTGGAGCACATTGTTTATACTGTTTGTGAAGTTGACTAGAGTATTAAGTGTACAAATAGATTTAGAAAACAATAAAACATTGCATGCTATTCTGAGTCTTGAATTTTTATTCACTACAGTGATGATTCACATTTTGATTAAAAAGGTAATCTGTGTGTTTATCATATTCCTAAAGTTTATTAAAGACTTTCAGGTTCATGTATAGACGCGGAATTGGCAGAAGTGTTCTGAACTGCTCCCAAATAGCCTTTTTGAGAGAACTTGGCTTCTAAGTCCCAGTGCCTGAATGGTGCTTTCATGAAGCATTAGCGCCCGATAGCACCGAACAGTCATTTCTGTAGCTACAGGGGTAGGTTGTCTAGATCCTGGGAGGATATCAGTTTGTTACTTGAACATCCTGGAAAGGTTTGCTTTTTCATACTGATACAGAAAATGACAAATCAGTTGAGTTATTGAGTCACACACCATCATCCTTTTGAACCTGTGTCAATGCTTGTGTTCATCTGTGTCTATTTGTAATACGTAGCTCAGTGCGATGCTCACATACGCAAAACTCTGCTTTAAGGTGGGTAAAATATGGTAGAAAAGAAAATTGGTGCTCTAATCTTGCTAATCCCTTGGATTCTGTCTCCTTTAGAGCCTATGTTTTATAAACCATTTTACCTTCACTTAAAGCCGCAGATAAGTCCATTAATGTAGCATAATATTAAGCAGATTGTTCTTGGCCTTGTGGAATGCTACCTATGAGAGCAACCTTTCTGCAAGAGAAGACTAGAAATGAAAAGAAGCTTCTTGATCTTTCAACCAAAGCAACTTACACAGTGCTGGATGTTTCAGGAGCACCTCTCTTACACTGGGAAATTTGAGCATTCATAACCAACATTTTAAATATTAAAAGGAAAATTTGTCTTCATGGTATATTTTACTTACATGAGTTTTATTTATATAGTGGTTAGAATCATTTTATTTGCCTAGCCAAGTAATTTTGGAAACTTACTCGCTAACATTCTCATCTTGAGAATTCTTTAGATCATTTGCATGTTACAGTCCTGCAGTCAAATATATTTGTAATTATGATTTGTTTCTTACAAATACTAACCATTAGAAGATATATTTTGAATGAAATTAACTCCTTTTTTCTTCTGGCTAAAATAGTAAATTTAAAAGGTTTTAAGACCACATAATTTTTAGTTACACCAGGAATTCTCAGCCTATTTAGAAGTATCCCAGAGTCTGAAAACCCCTGAGTTACTGGCTAACTCCTGAGTACGGCAACGTAGCTAGCAGGAACTGGAGCAAGCTAGATGCACTGTTCCCCTTTATTTAACAAGTGACCTTGAGGAGAGAACAACAGGTCAAAGGGAAGGTGCCATGAAATTAACTTCTTTGGCAAACTCTTGAAACTGAATATCTGTGCTCCATTACTCCCCACTTTCCCTTCTGGACCGAGCCAGACACCAGGCAGAAGGGAGGAAACAGGCCGCATACTTTGCCAGGGCGGGGCGGGGCGGGTAGCCTTGGGCGGCTGTCGGAAGTGACTGCGGTTCTAATTTCCAGGTCGAGGGCCTCTTTACCCTCCCCTGCCTCAGGATTTTAAGCATACGCCCGAATTATGCAAATGAACTGAAAAATAGAAATTTATAGATAACAGTGAGCCAGCACTGATGGCTTTTTAACAGCTTGTCACAAAGGTTGAGAATCCCTGGTTGAGACTGATTAAATAGAGAATTTAGAATCTTACGTAATTTTAAACCCTTTCATGCCTAGGAAGAAAATGCTGTTCTTGAGATAGATAGCTCTTCAGAGGATACAGTTTAAGGTATGTAAAAACATCAGTTTTCAAAGTCAGCTCCAGTCATGTGCCCAATAAGGACATTTTGGTCAGCAGTGGATCGCATGTTTGACACTGGTCTCATACAATTATAATACCGTATTTTTATGTTTAGCTACACAATTACTTACCATGGTGTTACAGCTGCCTACAGTGATCAGCAGGGTGACATGCTCTGCAGGTTTGTAGCCCGGGAGCAATAGTCTGGACCACACAGCTTGGGCGTGTAGTAGGCTGCACGCTGCGTTTGCCTAAGTGCGTTCTGTGATGTTCGCACAGGATGAAGTCATCTAACAATGAGTTTCCCAGAATGTATCTCTGTTGCAAGGTGGTGCATGACTGCACTTTTAAGCTAGCTGTTGAAAACGTTCTCACCAGTTAGAGAATTTATATTTCTCACCACTTTCACAAGAAACATCTAAAATGATCGCTAGAAATTAAATACTGTTACTTACATGGTCAAAGCTTTTTAAGTAAAATGACCAGCAGACCACCACTTTGGCTACCTCCAGCATCAGAGTGTGGTGTGTCACACGTCCGCGCTGTGGGCGAAAGGTTTTGTGACAGGGTCTTTGTGGAACTTGGAGCAGAATCCCTTTGTGCGTGGGGCCCGGGTAGTTGCAGGGTGAGCAGCATCCTGAATTCCCAGCAGCGTCGGGCATTTCGGAAAATGAAGAATTTACAAGAATGAAAGGGTCGGTCAAGAAGGAAGAGCAATTATTTCCAAACTACTCGCAGGATGACTCTTTACAGGTCAATAAAAACCTATGTGGAGTGAAGACCAACCTAAATTAGCAATAGCCTGAGTCACTCAATGTGAAATACAGGCAGTGTCACTGTTTCAAAGCACAGAGAATGCGCAGAGTCTGCCTGTGGAGTCATTTGTGTACGAAGAATACACTTAAGTCCTTCATACTCCTAGTTAAATATGCTCTTTGTAATGTTACTTAGACTAGTGATATGTATTAGGAACCCTTAGTTTTGCTGGGACTTAACAAAACATGGAATAATAACATCAAACTGAATTAACCGAGTAAATGAAATTTTACCTTTAGAAAGAATATAGAACTGTATCTTCCATATTATTCAAATTAAGCTGTTTGAAATAATTAAGATCGTCTTGATTGTCCACTATCGTTTTCTAATGTTAACATTTTATACTTATTTACCTCGTTTTCTTTCAAGGCAACAAGGGCCCTAGAGCTTAGTTCCTTGCCCGTAGACCCAGGCTCGTTTCTCATTTCTCCTGACAGCGCGGGTCAGTCCTCACAGCTGGCTTCCTCGCCAAGTGTCGGGGGAAGAAGACAGCCCGCCGCCGTTCAGTAATCCTGCTGCCCAGTCGGCCGGAGAAGAGATTTGTTCACCTCTTCCAGCTTTGTTTGTTCTCAGTAGTTGTAGACTTTAAATTAGTTCCAATGAAGTGTTCCTTTTATGAAATTTTAGGTAAAAGCCCAAATGTATAGCAAGAAGCATGTAAAATAAACTCTACGTAACTGACATTTCATATCTGATAGCATCCTCTTGGTCAGATGTCTGATAAAAAGATTATTTTCAAATTTATCACAATTCCCGATACTTGCACTTTTTTAGCTGTGTTTCTGAGAATTTGTAGATGCATATTATTATACTTATTGCCAATTAAACTTTTTATTTAGAAAGAAATTTTCTTTTTGAGTTCTTTTTGGTTTTCTCCCTCTGCTCTCTCTTACCCATTTTTTTCAGTCTTTTTTGTCTTAAGTTTTTTTGAGGTTGTCATGTACTCATCCTGTCTTACCAGAAAACATTCCTTAGAGCAGTAGAATGGGAAAAACCTCAAGACAGCTTTTAGAGCAAATCCTAGATGTCAGACGGCCAGTGGACGTTCAGTGGACACTTGCTGAGTGCATAAGGTATGTCTGCGTGGGGAGCTGAGCTGGGACAGTGCTCGCAGATCCCACCCAGAGCCTTAAACCGTTGAACGTGCTGCCTTCGCCCTGAGCTGGTGCTGTACCCCTCACAGGCCCACCTCCCCTCTCGCTTCTACTCACCCTCTTCCCTGCCTGCTCTGTGAGCTGTTCCGTGTATGATTTCAGGACTTTTTCGAGACACAATAGCGTGTTTGGTAAAAACTCCCAGGGATGGTATCCACAGCCCATCTCCACAAGCGCTAGTGACGTGCTAGGCTGTGCGTCCTTCTTGGCTGTATTTTTAAATTCTTTTGTGTACTTGGTTTAGTCCTTCGTGAAGATGCCCGTCTTATAAATTAATGTAATGCTAGAATCGAATGTAAATGGTTCTACTCCACGTTTTCTTTGGGATAATAATCAGGACCATCACAAAGTCTGAGCTGCGACTTACCCTATCCAGAGCTCAGTTTCCAACCTTTCTGTCAGGGAGGCTGCTCATTTCCAATGACCATCCCTATTGATTGCTGTCACCCCCCACCTCAGACCACTCTGGCCTAAAATGAGCATATTATCCTGGGATTCTGTAAAGACTACTTTATATATGAGTGAGTCGTTACATGATGGTTGAAAAGTTATCACGTTGAAGTAGGCAAACCACTGTAACAATTCCCAAACCTTAC